CGTGTTCCGTTCCTCATCGACGTTCTCCTAAGCCAACTTCAAGTTGGCATGTTTAGAGGCAATACATTTGTAGTTGTTTATGGATGCTGCACCGCATGCTCTCCGTAGCTTCTGCGCAAAAATTCCTTAGGCCGTAGGTGAACATATTTCTTGTGAGCTTTTGGCCCACTCGTTAAAACGTCAAGTAGGTAGCTGCTTCCCCACCTGTACGCACACCCGATTTGCAGCAGCACTTCGTTCGAGAAAGCCTTTGCTGCCAAGACCGCAGTCAATTTGGACCCTTAAGGAGCCTAAGGCAACCTGTAGCAGGCAGCACTTTCAACCTCTTCCTCATCTCAAGATTGACAAGTTCATTGTTTGATAGTTTGCCTGGTACCCCTCAACGATAATACCATAAACTGCGCAATTGCTGCGAAGCTTGCTCTCGGAACCTGCTCCGGAATTTGTTTTGCTATGGCTAAAGACCCCAAAGCTGTGCTGTTGGGGAGTGAATCTGGCAGAGCATGACCTGGTAGAACAGAACATTGTCCCAACCACCTTTGGCATCGGTAGCTTTTTCTTTTGCGTTCTTTGCACTCCATCCGGGCCTGAACAGAGCCAACAGCCAACCGAACCCCTGCAGCTTTATGTGGTGCATTGGGTAGGGTTCTACAGAAAGAAGAAGTGGTTATCCCTAGAAGATGTATTTATATATATATATATAACTCTATATGTTTGTTCCACATTGCATGTCATATCTATATTACATGTATACTGTATACATTATAGCTTAATATCCAAACGTCCCGAGGTTCGAACTTCTGAGAGCAAAGCCACGGGAGGCCTTCGACCGCATCACCTCATTTCTGGGTTCGGGCGCCAGAGCGACCGTGCTCAATGTAGGTCACGTCGGTGCGGGGCAGTTTCTCGCCTCAATTTGACAAGTTCAAGACTCAAATCATATAGAGGTCATAGATGTCAATTGGGAGAAGGTACCAAGAAGGCTGAACCTATTGGTCAACCTTCTCTCTTATGCACCCCATAGGCGGCTGCCACCTCCGGGTCTCGTAGGAGCCCGCGGTCTCGAGTACAACGCCGTTGTCGCGCCAAGGGATTCAACCATTTCCAAGTGACCATGGCTTCAAAAGGCATGCCACGGAGGATCGGGCCAGGCTGGGTACTCGGAGAAGCTGCCGAACTGAAAGGATCTCCAAACGGAGAAAGAGCGAGAAAGCCAATTAACCACCGGGTGCATTTGTACATGTATTTAATACTTGCCTCACGTTTTCATGGGACTTGGAGGTAGATAAAAATACTATATAATACTATATCTCATGTTATATTCAGATAGATTGACTTTGCTTCAGATACGTTATTTCCATCATAAAAGTTACCGTAAGTCGAATGTTCATGAAAGATCATGTTGCAGTCGGTAGCTTCAAGACAGGAGATGAACATGTTGTTCCTGTGTGGTTGTGCGTAGTTGTGCACAAAGATTGTGATAGTTGATAGTTGCTGTGGTCCAGCTATATATATATATATAACCTGTATGGCATGCTGCTAGTTGTTGATGCTGCAGCTTGGCTCAGAATAACTTATGAATTCCAATGCTTTTAGACTTGAAGTTCCCAGCATGTTGCCTCTGCCCAACCAGAGGAGCCCGTCCCTCAGTCCGACGCACCTCCATTGCACCCGTTTCGTTGGCATCGCACCCGTTCCGAGGCCATTCCGGCGGAGAACAAAGAGACCTGCGCGAATCACTCGCCAGCACTGATCGTGCCCGATCACCGGAAGCACGCCTGGTGCGGGCAGTCAGTGGTGAGAGCCGGCCAGATGAGCAGGCCGAGCTGGTGAACAGGGATGTCGGTCTAGCCTCCAGCATTTCCCAACCGAACAAGGACTTGACTTGAATACGTGTGTTGTGATCCAGACCTAAGATGTCCGACAGATGCTTCATGATCACGAAAGGTAGCAGTTACGCTACCTGAGTTGTCTTTGCTTTAGCAATGTATTGGGGGTGGTGAGAGTCTCCCGTGCTTGATTTCGGTGGTTTAAGAGTTGGTTTTAAATGTCGGGGGGGGGGGCCCCCCCCCATTCGACTCCACCCTGCGCCGCGGAGAATTTGGTAGTGATTTGAGCAGAAGCAAGCAGCCAGCAGCAGCAGCAAACCAGCAAAGCAGCAGCAGCAGCAGTAGCAACTGCAACAGCCAAGCAGCAGCAGCAGCAGCAACCAGCAGCAGCAGCAGCAGCAGCAGCGACCAGCAGCAGCAGCAGCAGAAAGCAGCAGAAGAAAGCAGCAGCAGCAACCGGGAGCAGCAAGCAGCAGCAACCAGGAGTTTTCGTTCAGTTTTTTGGGGGTTGCGCAGACGAAATTGAAAGAGGGGAGGACAGCAAAGCAGCAGCAGCAGTCTTCAGGATTCAAGCAACAGCAGCAACCAGCAAGAAGTAGCAACAGCAACAGCCAAACAGCAGCAGCAACCAGCAGAAGCAGCAACCAGCAGGATCAGCAGCAGCAACCAGCAGGAGCAGCAACCAGCAGCAGCAGCAACCAGCAGAAGCAGCAACCAGCAGGAGCAGCAGCAGCAACCAGCAGGAGCAGCAACCAGCAGCAGCAGTAACCAGCAGCAGCAGCAGCAACCAGCAGCAGCAGCAACCAGCAGCCGCAGCAACAGCGGCAGCCAGCAGCAGCAGCAGCAACAGCAGCAACCAGCAGCAGCAACCAGCAGCAGCAACCAGCAGCAGCAGCAGCAACCAGCAGCAGCAGCAGCAGCAGCAACCAGCAGAAGCAGCAGCAAGCAGCAGCAGCAGCAACAGCAACAGCAACAGCAACAGCAACAGCAACAGCAACCAGCAGCAGCAAGCAGCAGCAACCAGCAGCAGGAGCAGCAGCAGCAGCAGCAGCAGCCAGCAGCAGCAACCAGCAGCAGCAACCAGCAGCAGCAGCAGCAGCAGCAGCAACCAGCAGCAGCAGCAGCAACCAGCAGCAGCAGCAGCAACCAGCAACCAGCAGCAGCAACCAGCAACCAGCAGCAGCAACCAGCAACCAGCAACAACCAGCAACCAGCAGCAGCAACCAGCAGCAGCAGCAGCACCAGCAGCAGCAACCAGCAGCAGCAAGCAGCAACAGCACCAGCAGCAGCAACCAGCAGCAGCAAGCAGCAGCAGCAACCAGCAGCAGCAACCAGCAGCAGCAAGCAGCAGCAACCAGCAGCCGCAGACATGCTACCTTTCGTCCACCCCCGTCTCCTCAAGTTTTTGGTGCTAACTTGGTGCTGTTGGGGACGTTTTGCTGCTTCTTCACAGGCAGCCAGCTACATGGAGATTGCTGTGTCGATGCCTCAGCTTCAACTCAGGTAGTACCAGATCATCAAAGCCAGCAGTTGTATGGCACTCCCTTTTCAGAGCATAACACGGCATTGGGGGGAGAGTATAAAACAAAATGCAAGAAGGGATGTGAACATGGTGAAGCTATGTGGAATTGTGGAAATCCCCTATGTATCATTTTGCTCCCTCCTACATGTTTGTCTCATCTCGAGGTGGTGCCTCACAGGCATGTGTCTTGGCGGCATAAGTTGTGGAAGAGCTTCGCGTGGCTTGGTCGTGGCTTTGCTGTGCGCTCATAATTTGCGAGGAGCGGATGGTGGAGTCTGAATATCATCACCGTGGCTCAGCATTCGATCAAGGGCACGGGGTTTGTAAGGCTTGTGTTCATATTTTGTAATTTTCTTTCGGGTAGGTAGTGGAACTGGGAACGATAATGAAAGCTCTACAACATGCCACAACTATTTATCAACTTTAAGTCAAAACATTCAGGGGGAAAAAAATAACATCAAACTAACATGGAGCAAACCAGTGTGTATTGTGTCGAACGGGCTGGTTTCCAGCCTTGAACACCGAGCCGAGCGATCTCGGGCTCGCCTTGGCACTCAGGCTGAGCTTCCGTTCTTCGTGGCCGAGCTGCCGGCGGGCAAACGACTGGGAAACCTGATAGCTGTTTGCACTCAAATCGGAGACTTGGTGGAACATGTTGGAACATCCAACGAGCTAGTAAGATATGAGAAAACCATAGAACACCGAAAACCTGGTTGTGTGATGTTGTGTGGGTAGGTGTGTGTGTGTGTGTGCGCATGCGTGAAGTGACATAGTCATGCAGCTTGTGCCAAGGAAACATAGCGCCAATTATTTACAAAGCCGCGACCAGAAGAAGACCGGGCAACCTTGTCGTTGCAATCGGCTGCTTCCAGGTTGTGGCTGCCAATGCCTCAACCACTGATTAGGCGTAGCGGCATAGCGCAGTGCAGTCACATTAATATCGAAGAAGCGCATTGGATACACTCTGACTCACTAGCATGGAAGTGGACCATGTTTCAATTGCTAGCGAGTACTTATGTGACCATCGGATTGGCATTGGCTAAGGTGTTGTCCTTGCTTGCAAGCATGCTGCTATGGCATTCCACACCTGTCCTTCTTGTTTGCACCGTCCTCGCTGGAAGCGTAGGCGCAAATTAGGGCGATGCTTTTCCTGGCCCTGACAGGGAGAAGCTGTTGGAAATGAGCGCCAGGAAGAGTAAGTCTAACCCAAATGATCTCAAAGATTCAAGAGGCCATGATTGTTGGAAGCTAAAGACCTTGAGAAGTCCATGAAGTGTCACATTGTCGCCTGGAATGGAAAAATGCACAAGGAGGAAAGCCAATTTCTTGGGTGGTCCACATGGCCAGGGGCAGACCTCATTCAACAGACTCACCTTTTGTCAGGCTGCATGAGCAGCGTCACCTATTGGGCAGCTGTTGCTCAGCGGCCCGCCAGTTGCGTGCGGGCAATGAGAGCCTCGGAAGGAGTAAAGGGTTAGCCATTTTGGAAGACCACTTTGAGAAATTAAGCATGCTCATCACTACCCTCTTAGCATGCCTGAGCCCCTCCCGGGGAGTGAGGGAGTTCCAGATCCTTGTGTTCTACACGGATCTCATGAGGAAGAAAATGCCGTGAACTGCAACTGGGCTGTGCAGTCCGACCGCACTCCCGAGGTGTCGGCATGACATTAGGCGGTCTATTGGCTACAGGCTTCGCAGCCACGTACCGTGGCGCGGACCGGCCGGGCGCTTCTGGGGGGATCATGGCGAAAATGATGAAAACCAGGAACAGGGCTACGGGCTACGCACGATTCTCTAGATTCTGCCAACACTTGGTTTATGAATAGTTTTGCGCAGCGAAAAATCAAGCATGGGATACCGAGATGTACATGTTTGATCATGTTTAAACTACGTAATAGTTTCCGAAGATGTTAACAAACAAAATAACGGGGATCGGCCATGACGAGAGCGAGAGCGCCACAAGGCTGGATATGTATGCCAGCTCCAGTGTGAGTGTGACCTGAGGCAGCTGGGAGGTTGTGAACAAGGAGATCCAAGATTTTCTCCAGAGATATTTTTTCTTTTAGCTGCCGCGACGCAAGCTTCTGGGCAGAATAGTATGAACAGTCGTTTTGCTTCATCGGGGACTTGTGACTTGTGGCAGAAGGCTTCAGGGAAGGAACTGGAAAAAAAGACAGTCATTGAGGCTGGTCAGGGTGCCATGTTTGTGTGGCGCAGCTGTAGCACCTTTGGCCAGAATGGAGTTGCTGCTCCTCAGACGGCAGGCACAGGACTCAGACAACCTGGGCAGTTCGATGTCTTTTGGGAGTGTCCCAGCCCCACCTGTACCTTTTTCCGAGGTTCCCCTGCTATACACACTCAATTGAAAGTGACAACATGTTTTTGTTTCCAAGGGCGGATGTTTCGCTTCCATGTTCTTAAGAGTGCGCTTCGTGGCGTTCTTTGTTGGTTTCGTTCCCTCAGGTGATGAGCAGGCATGTGCCTCCGAGAAAGGCCCAATGCCTCGGGTCGTTCCCAAGCTGATTTAATCACTAGCGTTCAGTTATCTACCTGCTTCAACAATCTTTAAGAACTAATTCAATGACCGGCAGATTGACACAACCGCTGTTAGACCACATCCTCGCTGTCACTCGTTTTTTGTGCTCTTCGTGATGGAGCTCCCTCAGGAGTGCGAAAGTTTTGATGGCCGACCTGAGGCGAAAGTCCTAATGGCTGGGTGCTTTGTGGTCTATGCCACCACTTACACCATGCCCACCTTGATGCCCTTCATGGCTGGGCACTTCACCAACAGCACAGAAGTTGGGCGGCAAGGTGTACTAGTGTACCACGATGGTGGGTCATTTTACAAGGGACGTAGATACTGGATGAGACTGGTATCTATATCAATGATGGAGATCACACGCACAGATCTCTCTCTCTATATATATATATACATAAGCGCACACACACACAAGACAGAGGCAGTGGATATTATCACGGTTTGTATTTGACCATCAACCTATTGTTTGGTTTTGCTGGATTGTAGGGATGTTGCTATGGTTGTTGCTCTTCAGCCTGGAGATGTTTATCCCCTTCCCCAAGAAAAATGACTGCGTTGTGGCTCGTGTCCGGAAGCCGTGCGAGCTTAGGAGAGTCAACAGCTATTGCTTTGGATGCAGGTCCTGCAGAACGCAGGCGCGTGGCCTTGGAAGGGGTCAGACTTGGGTCGCACGTTTGTGGTGCTGTGCACCATCAGCATCACAGCTTCACGACAGGAGATGTTCTGGGCCGCTTGGCCACGGCCCTGGTGCGAGAAAACAGGCTAGTACTCACGATCTGGATGGTGTTGCTTGTAGTTCGGGACTCAGACATGGCATAAAACGCCACCACATGTTCAGAGTACAGTTTGTGTTTCTCTTGAGGCATCATTCCTAGTGTCAGTGCTGACATCGGTGCAAGATGTCTCTAAATGGCTCCATGAATGCATTAATGTGGACCAGATTTTGTTTCACCCTGAGAACAGATATACCTGATATACCGAACAGGGAAATCAAGTTGCACTGAAAGCAAATCGGGCAAGACAAACCGGAGCCTCGACACAAAGTATAAGAGCTGGTTTGACCTTGCCGAGCCAAGGTTTCAATATCAGTTTGCCATTCTTGCAATGCCCCTGACCTGCGGCCTTTTCTATTTCTCGCGTGGCTTGCTAGCTGCTTGACCCCGGTGGTGTTGTGATGTTTTGCCCGGTGACAGATAGATTTTCATGACTTGATTATATATGCCTTGCCAAGGTGACCACCTTCTATCTCTATGCGCGAGGCATAGGGCCAAAGGAACAGGCGTCTAGGCAAGCATGCTGAACCCAATGGCTTTTGAAATCACACAATGGATCAATATACAGTAGAGTTACCTGTGGAACTTGAGACTTCTTAAGACTCAATATGGCTCAACGAGTTTGCTTCGGACGTCCGACGCCAAGGTTCAAGAGATTACAGAGAATATGGGATTTTGTGGTCAAATGGGCGCTCTCATCGCCAACTTTGCTGCCTTCGTCGCTTGCCCGCAAGTTGCTTGCCCATGCCATGGCTTTGCAAGGCCTCCAAGCCCCTATAGAAGATGTCACTCAATCCATCTCAATCCCCAAGATGGAGCTGACCCTCAAAGTAGAACTCATATCAGTCATAATTGAATTGTGGAAGTTCAAGCAATAGTCTCCTTTACCTGTGCACAGGGCCTCATTCTGAAACCCGTGTTTGAATGCAGGGTGTGCCAGAACCAAGGTCCTTGTGTCAATCTTCACCTGACCCGTCAGCATTGCGCCCTCCGAACATCCAAAGATCAAAATACCTGACTCGTTTCACCGATGCCCAGTAGAAGTGCCAGGCATGTCAGTGATGCACCTCGGCAGCCGACAGCTGCAGACAGCCGATGGCCCAAACCATGGAAGGCGAAAGGAGATGGCGCAAATGTCCAGAAGGATGAGAGAAATTCACTGTGGTTGTAGATCATGGATAGTCATCCCTTCTCTTAATTTCAGAAGGGACAAACCCTTTTTCTGGCAAATGTGGATTCCAATGTGGATCGGATCGGATCCATATTAGGCATCAGAGGAGAGGGCCCACAAACAGGAAGAAGGAGTCTTGAAGGTAAGTATATGCCGGGGACGATTCCATTTTGGATAATGTTTATGCAACCGCTTACAACAAGAGCGAAGCATATCAGAGGCAAGGTATTTTCAAGGAGACTCCACCCTGCCAATGTGCTAAAATCGAGCACGTGATGCAGGTTTCAATAACGCGATATGATAGAACATGCCTTTTGAGAACTGCTGGGCTTTCAGTTGTTTTGTGATGTTGTGTGTTTTTGATAGGATTTAGTTTAAAGATATATATATAATATATAGCTTCAAGGGATGCAGAGAGCAAAGGAAGAGAAACAACTGGATCAACATGGTCCGCGAATTACCTTGTTAGACAAACATGCAAATGGTACTCTCCCTGGCATAATAATGGAAGTAGACAACCCCGCCTGTTTGCAGAGGAACATGGTCATCATCCTGCTAAGCTGATATATAATTTTGCTTTGTAGCTCAGAGCCAGCTGTCGAACGTGCAGGCCGCTGCATGCAGACCGCTTGAGCCCTTCAGTTTGAAAGGCTTGCAGTGGAGAGGCACAGAAAGATCCCTCCAGATCTGGCCGCCTTCGTCCACAGACGCAAAACATAGGATGGTTTCATGTCCAGTTGTTCGTAAGCGAACAGAGTTGCTCAAGCCAAGATCAGACTTCAAACAGATTTCAACTAAGCCAAGGAGTTGCTTTTGATGGCGTGCGCAGTGCTTCTCCAAGTGCGCAAGTCGATAGAGCTCAATCCAGAATATGGGATGGGCCGCTATTGGCACAATTAAGAAGCGGCACAGAAAGCCACTGCGTTGCTTGAGCCGGGAGCCTTCTGTTGCTGCAGTCGGCAGCAAATACTGCAAGAAACCATATCCGCGCCAGGGTGTGAAGCTAGCACAGTGCGACACAATCCATAAGATTCCATAAGTACATTCATATGTTTCAGATGTTCATGTTACTCACATCAGCTCACCTTCACACGCAAGAGCACAAAGCTGGAATCTTTGTCAGTGCAGTTGCGCTGCACAGATGTGTGCATTAAAACATACTACTTGACTTCAATAAGTAGTACTCAACAGTTGATTTGTATGCGTGTGCATATGTATGGACATTGTACATATATACATGTGCGTCCACGTCTTATTGAACCATCAAACGCAATCTTTTAGAGAGCAACCTCAGATACGCAGAATCAACCTCAGTGATTCCATGGTCTCCATGGCCAAATGTTTCCGAACTGTTCATCAGATATCACGACACTTCCTAGTGAAAATACCATTTGTATCCATTTGTCATTTACACTTTGCTGCCGTACTTGACACCTGCTCCGAGTTCCGAAGAGGAGTGAGCGCCTTCGGTGCAGGGGAGTTCTGGTTGTGCATTCATTCCGGCGGCCTAGTTGACATTCCTTCGTTCGCGCTCCAAAAAGGCAGGAGCTGGCAGGAAGGCTATGCTGTGGATCAAGAGAGTCGAGGGGTCAACAAGTCAAGGTCTTTAAACCAGAATGCTGAGTCGATGAAATCTCGGATAATTGCTGTCATATGTGCTGGCGGGTGCACAGTCGTTTGAGGCACTGTGACTCCTTGTCATACAACTCAAGAAGCACAAAAGGGTTTGATTCGGCCACCACTCACTGCACCCTAGGTATGAAAGTCTTGGCCAGCGCGTGAGCCTGTGCACAGAGATTTGGCCTCAGTATCTCAGTGCTCAATGGGCGCTCAATGGGCTCGGCAGTGCATCACATGTTTTTTGCGTTTGATAGGGGTCTTCGGTGTCGCGATGAGTGTGGTGGCTATGAGGGCCCACGATCACTGTAGATATATACCAGTGTCTACATCCCTCAGCCAACATTGGGGCCAGTGGCTTTGCAAGCATTCAGTGCTTCCTGCAGCCATTTCTCCGCGTATTTCCTGCATCGTTCAGTTGCAGGAACGCTGACTTGTCAATACAGCTTCCAATTTTTACCAAGGCCTTTGAAGCATGTCCTGAATGCTTTCAAAGAGAGGCTGCTGAGGCAGGGAATCCATTCCTTTCAGCTGCATTGAGAGGCCCAAGCATAGAGATTTCAGCAGAGGCCCGTGTCAAGGCCTTTCGGGAGACGCAGGGAGGAGAAACCTTCAGTCATTGCCTCCGAGTGCAGGAATAATGAGTATGGAAAGCTTGTGACAATGCTGGCAGAGGCAGGAACTGGCCAGCCGGTGCAGCTTGAAAAACTAGTACAGTATGTTGAGCTGTTGGTAAGCCTGGTAAGCCACTTCTTCGAGGGGGTTGCCCCTCGTTGCCCCTCTGAAAGCCCAATCAGTTGGCCAAATTGCGACATGGACTTTCCCATAGCTTAGCCCGACGCCAAAGGTTTGCTAGTCGAAGATGATGCGTGCAGAAACAGACCCAGCAGCATCTAGCAGCATTTCTAGCTCGAGCATTGCATCCGAAAAGATAACTGAGCTTTTGGGATGATCAAGTATGGCCATGGATGCTTGGCCATGGAATTGCTGTATTTACATGTGTTGAGATGTTTTCTTGATGTCTTAAACTTGGCGAGAACAATCACTCATGACACGTCAGGTTTCTAGGACGTTTGGTTTGACCATGTTTGACATGAAATTCATTGAAAGTATCCGAATGCGAAGGCTCGTTGCTGGAGTTCACTTGTTGGTGTCACCCCTCTCATACGCCTAAAACCGTGATCCCCAGGAACGTGGGGGATGCAGGTGCTTTGCAGGCTCCAAGGCTCAGTCGTTCCGAAGGCATTGGTTTGGTCAGTGCCGTGTGCATTGATGATGCTTAGCTCGAAGACTTCCTTTCTGAATGTGTGTGTGTGATTGTGAGTATCACAGGAGCCGGTTCTCGTTCTTTTTGCGTTACTGTAAGGCGCATGCAGTTTAGGATTTGCAGTTTTGTCCAGTAAGCAGCCTGTGAGTCTTTGGCGAGCTGTATCGCCACAGGACTACTCTTTTACACGTGTTTTTGCGGGACGCCATGACAGAGACGATTGGCACTGGAGGGGGCATCGAGACCATATGGGCTGGATATACATTCATTCTTGGCTTCTTGATTGTTTTCCGCAGCAACCAAGCATATTCTCGCTTTTGGGAGAGTGCATCTGGGCCGCAGCTGTGCTACATAGGTAACAGATGTTAACAGTAACAGGTATTGATGTGACTTTGCATCTACAACAGTAATTTCAAGACCATGCTGACATATGCTAGCATGTTCCTGAATCATCGTGAATGGGATCATGTCACCATGTCGCCGATGCATCAGACCGGGTCACGGATTTTGAGGTGACCTTGACGCACAAGATCCGGGGTCAATGGACCAATGCATACAGCAATCTGTTGGCCTTCTGCTCCACCGATCAAGCTCGTGAGGAGGAAGTCTCCCACTTCAGCCCCTTAGAGAGTTAAAGAACCATTCGTTGACCAAAATTCACAGGTAAGCAGTCCATGTTCCTTTGTAAACATTCAATCGCATCCCATGTTGGAAGAAAAACACACTGGAGGAGAATGACTGGAATCAGGATGAATGAAGAATAAAACAAGGAGGAAACGATGCGCAGCAATTGTCACGCAAAGCCGCCTTGCCAGGGGAGTACTTGTTGAGATTGATGAGCTTGCTGCATTGCTACGCACTCCATCAGGCGCGCACGTGTGAACAAGTGAACCAATTGGAATGCGCAAACCAATTGGAATGGCTGCATAATGCTACTGCATGCTACTGCTACACATGTTGTTTCATTCTTGAAATGTGGAAGCCTGGCATACACCAATTCCCTCAAGGAGTGATGATCCACTCTACACTCTTGCAGTCCAAATGCAATAGACGACAATCCATTATGTAATGAATGCTTGGCAGGTGTGCGAGATGTCTGATGATAGACTTGAAGTTATTGATTTAAGTGGTCTGAGTCCAGACACTGTGGATTTTCTGCATTCATGCACAAGCTCTGATAGGCTGCCTGGCAGAACGACCGAGTAGCCGAATTCAACGCACTCGCGATTGGGGATTTGCTCTCCTGATTTGTTGGGTGAACGAATCCACAGAAAGGGCACCAGCATTCCATAGCAATTGTAGCCTGTGTTCATCTCTCTTCCTAACCTACTCTAGCAGGTACCAGGTGGTTTCCCTAACCCCGTTGACCACATCAACCCGGAGTGGAGTAGCAAGAAGATGTTCTTTCAACGCCAATTGGTTGGTGAATTGACGGGCAGCCATCTACCGGGCTTGGAAAGTTTGCTGGGCTAAGCGGAGACGGCGAGGCGGCACGGACGAAGAGAGGGAGAGACGTTCTCAGAGCTCGGTTGGTAAAGAGATGCCCTTGCTCCTAATAGCTTCGTGTTACTAGGGTGTAGACTCTTGATGAATAAACACACCACATGAAAAGGATCTCCAATTCTTGTGGGGGAGGTTATTAATCAAGAGTCTACATCGGTATTAATCAAGAATCTACATTATGATGCCTTCGATCGTAGATTGGCCCTGTCATGTCCCACACCATTTCAATCCGCACTCAAGTGGTCGGAGCATCTCTCAATAGATATATATATATAGTTACATATGGTATAAACATTGGTATACAAATTATACTACATGCATATGCATATGTCCTGAACAACTGAGGGCTGAGACTGTCATGTTGTGGATTGAGCGGCTGGTGGTGGAAAATGATCAAAAGAAGCTGTTTGCAGTTGCGCCACCCGTCCTGAGCAGAGCCTTTCAGGAGCTCTCCGCTGGCAGCTTGGCAAAGAGTTTCGAGTTTTCGATATATATATTATATATATATAACATATATATATGTACATAATTGACCAACCAGTTTAGCAGGGAGGCCAGTTTCCCACAATATGGGGAGACTCAAGGAAGTATGGAAAACCAAGTCTCGCGAGTTTTGTCCTTCCATGTCACTTTTTATTTAGAACAAGCTTGCTTCATCATTCACTGTAAACGAAAAGGGCATTTGGACAAAGATAACGTTCAGTATTGTTTGGATATATGTCCAACTGCTTCACCTGTTGAACTTGTGGTCAACTAGGTCCAAAACAGTGCGTGCAATGAGGCACACACACAAATACAACAAAAAGAGTTCAAAAACAGGCTCTAAATGTTGTCCCCTGGGAGGGGAAATGTCCAGAAGGACAAAATATACAGTAGATCCGAGGATCCACCTCACGTGAATTGTTGACAGAGCCTACCACAACATGCCTGGCAGAATTTGCTTGTGTTTGCGGAAGAAGAGGGTAGCAAGCATGGTAGCACCATGTATGCATGAAACTTTACAAGATGGACACCCACAACAAAACATGCGGTATAGCAAACAAAGGCTGCGCGACGTGTGTGTGCGTGTGTGTGTGTGTGGTTGTAAACATGGCAGCAATTTCGCCCTCTTCAGTGTCCTTACAAGGCCTGTTCTCAGGTAAAGAGAATGGCGGCCTTCATGAATGATTATGAATATATGTTTGCTATGATTCAACAGCGTTAGGAGCGCAGGAAGCTGACCCACGGTTTCAGACCCTGGCACCCCACGGTTTCTTGAGGTGGCCCATTGCACTTTTGCACTTTCTAGTGCTGTAGGGTCTAAGAATCCCTTCAGAGCCTTTTATTGTCTCACTTAGGTTCCAACACCTAGGATTGCGCATGATTCCGCGATTTCCTGACAGAGTCAGGTGTTTGATTTGACGGGCAACTGGATCTGAGGTATGGTGAACATAGCAGAACTGAAGAAGATCGTTGAAGTTCCCTTTCCTTTTCCCTATTCACAATATTTGTCTTTCATGCTGGTCCTGCAGTGGTTGGTGAGCCCTCTGGTGGCCTGTCAACTGATTTCAGAGTGGTGGTGGGCAGCATCCACTGTCTGGCTCATGTCCACCTCATATTGGACTTTGCGCCTCTCCTGAATTGGAATTGACCGTTGGGAGATGTTGATGTCGGGCTTCGGTCCACGCACACGTTCAAATGACCCAAGTTATCACCGTATGTCAAGGTGTCATTAACTGGCAAACGCCCGGATTCGTAGAACTGGAATTCAGACGCAGTGTTCTTTGTGCAGTCGACCTGATGTTTTCAGGTTTTATATTGCGCAAGAGATTGATCAGCCTTTCGGGGAGGATAGCAATGACTTGCCAGTGGTTGAGCTGCAGCACGAGTTCAATAAGAACTTGTTGCACTTGTCATCGCAACCCGTCCTACAGGGAGAGAAGATCTTGGATTTTCACAAGTATCATTGGTCCACCCGGTCGCTACATCAGAGCTTTGGATTTTGCAGTAGGGCCGTTGCATCCTTGGATGCAAACACACAAACCATAAGTAGCGGTAGCGGTCTTTGTCTATGAGACCCCACACAACAGCATCACAGAGTCAGTGAGCTTTTGATGGCATAGCTGGAATCATTTGTGAGGAAGAGATACATTCGTGTCTCTGGACTAATATGGCCACGGGAAAAGTGAAGCGTTTCCACAAGAAAAAGCACTCAAAACATAGGAAAAGCATGCACACAGTACAACAAGAAGACATGGACTCGGAAAGTGCTCCTTGATTGTGACGTCGAACTGAACCAATCTGAACAACGCCACTGCCCATGCTTTTCGAGGTGAGCTCTCCACGCAGGGACAACAAGGTAGCATGTGATAGTCGCGGCCCATCACGGCCCTGTGAAAGACGGCATGCTTTTTCGTGTGGGTCTTGGTGCGTTTTCGAAAGATTGCCTTTTTGAAAAGTACCCGACAAAGTTCGCCACCACCTGCCGAAAGACACATGGTGTGAAAATATGTGGACCCAGGTGAAAGGATAACAATGTAACTGGTGTGACACTGAGGACTTCAGCCGATAACGTTTGACGCCCACAACCCTACCCCAACTTAGTGTCATCCAATGACAATGTTATAAAACTGGCGACCATTGTTGTGAAACCGACGGCAATAGTCATAAAACAATGGGCAATGTCAATACCTCAGGACCCCATCCAAGCTCGATTTAATCATATGGTCATCCGATGACAATGATGTTCTGAAGCCCATGAAGGCAGCACGATGCCGTACTACATTCAGAAGAAACCTTTGGATTGCTACTGTAGTCTTGTATCATAATCACGCAGGTCATACTAAGGCTTGTGGTCAATCAAGTACACAAAATTCTAGAATTTGTGATAGATAAGATATGCATACTTACTTACTGTGTAGAGATCTCGTTCTTTAGAGCCGGTGAGGTCACAATCCTATGCACTTCCAGATTTTGTGAGTGCCATCGCGGTGAAGCGCACGACTTGTATGAGCATGGCACGGTTGACCTTGCAGAGTTCCAAACTTCAGGCTGGGCTGGGCTGCAGATTCGTGGAATTGGGACCAAGTGAGCTGGTGTTGCATGCATACAAAGCCACACAAAGTGGCCACTTACCACACGCTGCTCCGCTAGACCAGCTATCCGAAGCTCAAAAAGACAATTACAGAACTCAGCCCGGACCAGCCTAGCGTGCCAGGCTGTAGCTGGTTGAGTACTGGAGATTATTTGCAGGATGCCTCATAACCAACCATGGTAGGCCAATCAGAGAAGCTCAGAATAGGCTGGCTTTGCATGTGATCCTGCTGCTGAGTAGTTCCTTCATATGTAAGCGGTTGAGGCAGCTCGACATCGCATGACGCTTAACATGCTCTAAGTCTAGTATGAATGGAACACCGGGTGCCGTTAAGCAGTATTGCATCATATCTTTGCAGACTGCAGATATTGGTTAAGGGTATGGCCCGTAGGACGCTAGGTCCGCTAGGTATGACCTTCTTGAAGAACTTGGGTATTGCAGCTTTTGGTACGCACAGTATGCCAACAGTTATTGTTATGACAGTCGCAGGCAACTTCGAGCAGTGGTCCACTGTGCAAAGCTTTAGAGGATCAGCTTCAACGAGAAGAACAAGTTGAAGAAGTCTTAGAACAAGAAAGAGAAGGTCGCCGGCCAAACATGCGAAACATGCCAGAGGCAGAAGAGGAGGACTGGCGCGTTTTTCACGAACTGTGCAAGCATGATGAAACAGTAGCGGGAAAAGGTTCGACAAGACCAGTGCACACATGCTTTCATGAGCTGTGGATGTGACAGACTGAGGGATTAGCGGGTCCAAATCCACAGATGTAATGATCCTTGCCTTGCTCTTTTCGCCCGAGGATTGTGCCAAAACCATTGGCCAAGAGCCGCCGGCCCTCCCCGTCCTTGTGACTTTGAACAATCAGGCATTGGAGGCATTGATCATCCGCATTGATCATATTATCCTGCTCCAGGATGACTGGATATATAAATAAAACGAGACCAGTAGATACAGTAGTGTGTACAGTAGTGTTCTTTGGACTGCCAAGGCCACTCACAATAGCAGGAATACCCTTCTGGGGCCTTGTGCAATAGAGGCTGCAGCACAACGAGGCCGAGCACGTAAGACGTAAGTGACCAACGAAAGAAACTGCATCGAAGGGAGCCGATCGGAGCCGGCAGGAATCCAGCCTGAGCAACCCATTGAGCTTGAAATCCTCCAAAGCCTTGTGATGGAGCTGGCGGTTGATTACAGCGAACCCGAGGACAGGCAGAAATGTCTTACAAAAGCATGTCAGCCTTTCAGGAAAGGAAAAGTCAACTACTGCCCTTGGTTGAGGCTTGAAGCTTTCCGCAAATGCTTTGCAAGGACATTCCTGCCCTCATTGACGAAGCTCATCAGCAACGGCAAACGTTGGCTGCAGCTACTTTGAATGCATATGGATGCTGCTTTCAAGAATTGAACCTGCCAGAACTTGCCAGATGTTGAAGAAGTCAAAAGCTCTGAAAGCACAGAACGAATTTGAAGACCTGGTTGTTTGGGTCATGTTGACCCTTCTGGCTCTGGCATGGTGCCAGGCATCGATGGAGACCGTTGCGGCCCACCGGGTGGGCGGAAACGCGATGTCCCTGATAGAGTCGCTGGGCGGAAACGAACATCAAACAGTTGAGATGGCATGTTATCCATGGTGTGTCTTGAGAAATTGCCACATGTTATAGAATTACGGGAATCAAACAAATTGCAGGTTTGAGTTGAGTCGGTGGCACTTGTTCTATTGGGACGATATGTTACATGATTGTGTGTAGGATAATGATTTACAACGATATGTCAGAAAGTAGCATGGCCTGACGTAGTGGCACGTGCATGATCAGCAACATAGCCAGTCCTATGCCCCGCGATGCCCAATGTGGCTTCTAGATCCTAGACGGAGACGAGGCAGGCCCACGCAAAGCCTTTGCACCCACAAATTCCCCAAATAATTGCTGGAGCGACGTCGCGCAAGAGGAAACGACCTCAGTTTCAGGCCTCAAGTTGCCTTGCTTTGATGATCCGCAGCTCAGATGTGAACCTGCCTGAGGCTGGTTCAACATTTTCAAGACCTGGCCTTGGAATTGGAGACCGGGGGCGGCGAGGCAAGGCTTAGGATCAAATTCTGATGCAAAAGGAGTGGTAGAACGGGGCCTAATCAAGTAAAGATATGCCAGTCAACCAAGGGAGGCATTTGAGATCCACGATTCTTCCAACTCAAAGGATTCGTTTCGTCTTTGGGACTCCTCCCTGGAGGAAAGACCTTTGGCTCGCGAAAAGAAGGACCTTGCTTTGGCATACCTCCTTCAGTTGTTGCCACCTGGCTGCACGGTTGGCATTGGAAGCCGAAGGTCGAGGTATGACAGCTTTTTTTTGGCGTAGGTGAGAACGCAGGGATTCGTTCCGGGCCACCGGCCCAGTCTGCGCCCGGCACTCGCCACCCTTTTCCTTCTGTTTGGACCTGGACCGCCACCCCTGAGGACCGGGACTTTGAAGCGGCCACATTCCGTGAGGATCAACACCATATGATGCGCATGCTTTGCTCTCGTCCTTGGCGCCTTTCCAAAATGCAGAGATGAAAATTTGTACTGCCAAAAGTTGCTGATGCCGAAACGTCAAGGTAGGCCACAATCTCAAGATTGCTTGGAAGAAATTGAATATATATAATGTATATATGTCTGGCGATTGAGGTGTTTTTTGGGGTCAGCAGCCTGGCCAGCCAATATGGCCAGATTTGTTGACTCGTTTCTCTCAATCGTTTTCTTAAAACTATTTGATGTCATTATGTCAAAGGTCTGCGGAGATGCCAAAGGCACAATTTGACGATCAAAGACCTTTCATACCTTTTTCCATCCTTTCCTGGACATCGTCGAAAAAGGCCCACCTTTGCTACAACATCACCCAGACCCACATCCAGTCCGACGGGCGCTTGACAAGGACAATCAAAAGGACAGACGTCTAATATGTGGTTGGTTGACGAAGCCCTTCTCCTAAAGTATGCCTAAGCACACGACCATCCCACATGATGGGATTATTTTAAAAAAAAAACAGAGAGGCCGCAAACACCAAAAGAAAGATGGTCAGGAAGTTCCCACTAATGTTGGTACATGAACATATGGTTTTAATATAAATACCAGATGGTGCAGGGTCCGGGCCGCCCGACCCGCTCGACCGAAGATCATGCCACGACTGTTTGGAATGGGCATCCACCAGGCAGGTGCGCCCTGGGCATCCACCTCAGCGTCAGTGAAGTTGCTTCGCCCCTGCGGCCCCGGCATAGGTCAAGATACTGTGCAACGTAATGAAAGCAGCTGGTAGTATAATAGTAGCTTCGTGTGTGTATAGTTGTGAGATGATGTGAGCCATTTACAACTACTCTTTGCGACACGCTCAAGTGAGGTGTCAAGCCGCTTGCTACTGAATCGGACACATTGCGACTGATGTCACGAGGAAAGAAAGAATCTAAGATCGCCAGCGACAAGCTTTGGCATGCCTCACTTCCAAAATAGCCAAAGTCCTTTGGAAACTGTTTGAACGCTTGGACATGCTCGCAGTTTGTGGCTTGAACTGTTTGTACAATCGATGAAGTCCACACCACCTTAGCCAAGCATGAACGTGTGACTCAACCCGCAAAGAGTGAAGGTATAGATCGGAGCGACATGGGCATGCTTTCTTCTATTATATGGAGGCGTGACTCATTCTAATTTCGCCATCAGCAATGTTGAACATATGTAGCTTCCAGAGAAACCAATTCTGACACTTTGACACCTCGATAACCTTCTCAGTTTGATCAAACACTACGCTTCATGATTGCTGCATACTCTGACGTACGTTCACCAGCATGACAAATATGACACCGTGGAGTGAATGGCAGGTAGACCACCCAGGCCTAGCATGGTTCATTAGTGTTCATTGCCTTTCATATCCTTTCATACTCTTTTCGTGCCCTTTCGTGCACGCGGCATGTCCCATGACGATGCGATTCCCATCGGCGAAGGTTGGGCGCGGCACAACGGGGAGCTTCTCGTCCACCCGCCCTCACAAGTGTACTTTGCACAGCGGGGCGATCAACGAGGGAAGTACCTCTTGAAAAGCACTGATGGTGGTTGGAGTGTATGTCCCGCACCCCATGTGGGCACTGATTGTCCCATTGAGGTTCGTGCTGCAGCATCTTCTGTGCTGAGACCCGGGGTGGGTGCAGAGCGAAAATTGGATCGCTCAGTGGTATTAGCTGATATGCCCAAAACCGCCCGTTTGGCGTTGAAGTTTCCATTGGGCTTCTTGGATTCTCCAGCCAGTTGCTATGCACTGTTCACCGGTCTCCGTGGAAATGCTGCAGCTGCACATTGGTGTGCCTCGCAGTTTCATCAGCGACTCTTGAAGGAGGTGGCTAAGAAGATCCATGGTTGGTGGGACTCGGAAGCTGAGATGCCAGAAGAGTTGTTCTTCCGAGGATCTCATGTAGGTTCTTTGGTGAAAGTTCTTCGAGGATTGTTGGAAAACTTGGACCAAGACTTAACCAATGGCCCCCACGGCCTCGGTGGCTGTGATGCGGTTGTAGCGGTTCTGATTGGTGAAGACTTGGCAGCAGCGGCCGTTGGACATGCGTCTGCCACATTGCTTTTTCAGGGAGCGGATGCAGTGCCACTGGTGCCCTTGCTGGGACAGGAAGAAGAGGATGAGAACTCCTTGGCATCAGCATCACCTGTAGCACCTGTTGCCCTTTCTCAGCTGCCCCTTGGTCATGCATCTGATGTTGGAGCGCTGGTTGACAGCAGCGGGCTTCGACGGGCCAAATCAGCCTGGGATGCAAGTGAGGCTGATGAGGAAGATGTGCGAAGGATCCTGCGGGCACCTGATGCATTTTCTGTCTTGGGCATGGCCGAAAAGGGCCCCGAAGGACCAGCAGAAGCGAAGACCGCATACAAGCGGCTGGCACTTCGGGTCCATCCGGACAAGGTCGGCAGGACTTGTGATCCAGTGGATGCCAAGGCGGCCTTTGCTCGCTTGGACTCTGCTTCCAAAGTGGTGGAGGCGCTGGCTGAGCAGAATGCAGAGGTGTGTCGTGAGCTTCACCGGATTCTGCGATGTGACCCTTTCACAGTGAAAGGTGCTTCCCAGCTGCTACAAGTGGAGCAAGAGGCGGAAGCGTCCCAGGTGAAGAAGGCGCTTGAAGACCTAAAGCAGAAACTGGCCAAGGCTCAGCTGCAAGAGGCGTTGTCAGAGATTCAGAAGGGAGTTGATGCATGCTCAAGAGCTGCGGAGACCCTTCAGATTCTTCGACAAGCAGGTGCTAGCAGCTCGGAGAAGCTCTTGGCAGAAGGGGTTCCCATTCCTTCACTCTCGGCTTTAGGACTTCGGGATTTGAGAGGTCTTGGTGGTCGCTTGCAGGTGCGCACGGCTGCCTACCGCGCGGGCGAAGAAGTCCGAGTGGCATTGTGCAGTGGTGCTACAGCCGAATTGCCCATGAAAGACCTGGAAGAGGCCGCGAATGTCTTCCTGTGGCAACCCAAGGTGGCTGCCATGCAATGGGCCACCAAAGCCTTGGCATTGCGACAGGATCCTTCGGCTGCCAGCATTTGCTTGTGCATTCGGGAGAGGGAGGAGGATGAGGAGGAAGATCGCCCGGCCAAGAGACAGCGAGGTCCCAAAGGTCCTCGATCAGTTCGCTTACGTCACTTGTTGCTGCGATGTGCTGAGGCAGGCAAGCCATTGCCCGAGGATCCAATGGCTCGAAGAAGAAAGGCACAAGCACAATGCAGAACTCCTGTAGAAGCTGAAACTGAGCTTGCTGCACTATTGGTGGATTTACTCTCCGCTGACGGCAATGGTGACCTGGAGGCCTATCGGAATGCCACCTTTCGGCGGCTTTGTCAGGAGCGCTCGGAATGCTCATCCGCAGACAGCGCTGGGCAGCTTTGTGGAGACTTGGGCTGGGTGTCCAGGGGTCAGAGCGAGCCGGCCTTTGAACAAGCAGCCTTCTCCCTGAGGAAGGGCGAACTCAGTGATGTGGTGACATCCTCCAGGGGCGTTCACCTCATTCAGCGGATCGCGTAAAAGAGGAGCAACCTCAAGAGCTTGTTCCAGAGAGTGTAAGAAAGCATAAGAAATCCCAACAGATGTTATACTGTTGCATCACCGCAGCTGACATTGGACATGAAAGTTCGAAAGGTTGCCAGCTTCTTGTACTTGTGACCGACCCTATTGCCATGACACTGCTTTCAACTGGCTGATTCATGAGTGGATAAAACAAGGATGTGTTTTTCTAGACAGCCATACACAACCAAAAAATTGTGGGATGTTTGCCGTTTGCCCATCGGAAGATCATCAGTGGCTTCAGATGGATCTACCAGCAGGATATGAGCTCGCTACGCAAATTGTTCAATGGTTTGCAAATATGTACCCAACTTTTCACCAGACTACACCAATATCTGAAGAGCCATGATGGCTGTCTTTGGACAAGTGCGGAATAGCCGGATTGCATGGCCAGGATATTCAATAATGCACGTCCTCACAGCTCTTACTCAGAAGCAGCTGAATGTTGTAGAGGCCCCGGAGCCCACGTATACACATCCAGTACAGATTATGCGTTTAGTAGCTACAAAATTGGGGCGTCGCGGAGGGCGCTAGAGGGAAATTGACACGGCGCAGCTAGTCGGCCCAACGAGAGCCCTGAACTTGGCTTTTTCGCAGTTAGTCATCCCATGCGTGAGCCGTAGCTACAATGCAGCATAATGCAGCGACATCAAGGGCGATTGCCTTGCAGCAGGCCACCAACAGCGAGAAGGACAAAACAAAACAAAACCCAATGAATGGAGGGCAGTGGGCCACGCAGTATGACCACAGCGAAAGCTAAGATTCCTTTGTGTGTTTTCGCCAAGCCGCCCTTGCATGGACCCCAGCTTCTTGTAAGGCTTCTTGCACAACAAATGCTAGCAGAAGTCCCCTTTGATACGCGAAATGCATGTTACGGCACGATGCGGCATGATAATGACCAGAGCCCAGGCCTGGCCGAGTGGCAACCTGAGATTGCCTCGCTGCACTGGAGCATGCGGATTCAGATGGAAGAATCGTTTTGTTTTGCTGGTGGTCACGCTCCCACTCCAAACGCATTGAAGGCCCACAGAAAGCGTTTTCTTCATGCCTTACATTGGCATTTCATTGGCGGATTTGAGGCCCATTTTGTTATACATTCATGAGAGTGTTTGAGAACATGTAGGCCCCAAGGCCAAGACCATGGACCAAGATAGGAGAGACAGAAAGAAAGCAATAAGAGAAAAGAAAGAAAAAGAGAGAGAGAGAGAGAGCGGTGCACACAAAAAGATAGAAAAGCAAAGAACACATAAGTGCTCATTCTTTCGAGGGCTGCAGAACAGCTTGACACGCGACTGACGGCTGAGGCCAAGACACGTTTAGCTGCAAGCATTGGGCACGATGCTGCATGCAGGCATGTTCTCAAGGACGTGTTCATGTTCCGGAGAGATCCGGCAAAATGTTCACTGAGTTGTGCACGTTCCCCTTCCAGCGGGTAGAGGATGCATCCCTGTGCAGCTTGTGCCAAAAGATGAACAAGATATGAACTAAGATGCAAGAGGCATTGCCTCGATGTGATTTGTGATTATAGTGAATTATAGTGGTCCCCAAATAGATAGTGGCACGGTGTCCAATACATGTTTGGTGGGGATTTGATTTTACTTTTCTAATACTGTATACTGTATCTATTTAGGGGTTAAATTGGGTGGCCATCCGTGATCACATTTTCGCATTCGCCGTTCCATGAAACAAGGTTGGCCACGGTCAGCGGCTCTGAGTGCTGCTGAGTCCTTTGCGACAATGGAACTCGTGTTTCACTATCTAAACATATCTAAACTAAGGCCTTTATCAGCGATTTCATTTCCATGGCAGCTGGAATCGGTTGGGGCTATCCTGTCCTGGTTGGCCACTCGAATATGACGTGTTGGTCGCGTTTGGGAGTTTTGTGGCCACGCTAAGGCCACAACAGCTGATGGGATGGAGGGTTTCCCACCTGGAGTTTACCCACCAGCCGTGCAACGTGGCAGCATAGGTTTGGGTGTGGAGTGGAAACGGGGAGCTATCAAGGGATATGGTGGCTGGAAGTTTGGACCAGAAAAGGAGAGCATAAGCATTGGCACTCACTCGTGTTGTCATAGTAGACATATAGTGAAAGTGGTAGTCGGTGCGTTTTAGCCTAGTTGGCAGATGTTGGCAGATAATATGCAATATATATAATTCCCACCCCCTATCTCTACAAAACCGGGGGGGG